CCAACTGAAATAAAACCTCAAAATTGTTACTTCAAATTATGTAACGTACTCGAAGGTTTACCATTCGACAGCAACGAGTTCGATTATATTTTTATGAGACATATGCTTGCTGCATTAAAGAAGGACCAATGGGATCCATTATTTCGTGAAATAATGAGAATATTAAAACCTGGTGGTGTTCTTGAATCTGTAGAGTTTGAGTGGTATGGTGAGTATCTTTTTTAAAGCAATGTGAATTACCGATATTTATTTAGTTTTTATAAAATAGGTCATTCAATGGGTCCGGTCCATACTCAATTTGTAGCAAAATGGTGTATGTATTTATGTTTTTTTTTCTCTTTCAGTCTCTTTTAAAACTCTTACGTCAATCTCATTTCATTAATATTTAATTTTAGTCGAAATGACATCAAAATCAAGGGAAATGGATTTCCAATTTACTTCAAAACTCGAACAAACAATTAAAAATGTGGGATTTCAAAACGTGAATGGTATTCGTAAAATCGTGCCTCTTGGAAAGTAAGTCTTTCTTTAAAAAAATATATTATTTATTTTATTTTATTTTATTGGATTTTGTGGTTTTTATATCTATTCAGATTTAATTAATTATCCTTTTCCTTTAAGATGGGATGAAAAAGTTGGCAGAGTTAGTGAAATATGGACTTCAAATTTAGCTGAAATGGCCGCTGGTATGAAATCATTATCATCCCAAATTATGGAAATCACAGAAGAAGAATGGACGGATTTGGTGAATACATTATTCCAAGAGTTTGACGAGTATCACACTTATCACGAACATCTTATTATCTTGGCTACTAAATAAAATGTAATTAATAATAATAATAAAAAAAACTAAATAATCCCCCTAACGTGAGCGCTAGGGCTTTTATGAATTAGCTTAAAATTTAACATGGGATACACTGCAATAGCGTATCATTTTATTTACATATATTGAACTTATTTTAAATTTAGGTTATAGGTTATAACATTTTGGTATTTATTTATGCATTTAATGTTAAATTTTTTTACGTAATATAACACAGTCATAATAAGTTTTGTACGTCTAATAAACCTAGATACCATGATAAATAAATTTTCTCCGTTACTTTTTTTTCTGATTTTAGGAAAGTTTTATTCGAAATTTTCTTTTAAAATTAACATTAACGTTAAATCTACTATTTTTTCATTAAAATTATGTAATATTCCATTTTCTAATAAATTACAATTGTTGTTACTTTTTTTAATCCCGATTATATTCAATTAATAACTATATATGTGTAATAAGTTAAAACCAGGAATTTTAAAAATATATAATTCTTTAAGCAGATTTTAAATGATAATAACATGTAGTTAAAAAGGATTATTTTATGTAATACAATCACTTTTATTAAGACTAGGGTCATAATAATGTTAACGATAACGATAACTAGACAGGGGTTTAGACATTCCATAATAATAGTAACGTTTGTAAAAAGCGATATATAATAAATCTATATACAAATGCGGGTTATGTAATATATACTTAGACCAATATCGATTGTTATATACAAATGCAGTGAATATATACTTAGACCAATATCGATTGTTATATACAAATGCAGTGAATATATACTTGGACCGATATCGATTAAGAAATTCACTAACAAAAGGTTACGAATTAAGTTTTTATTCCTCATTATTCAAATTAATATTTGTCTTAACCGAAATAAATGTTTTAACTAGAATGCAGTGATGCAAAATTTTAAATTAAATAGTAATTTTGAAATTATAGTTAATCATAATATTACTGTAGAGTTGAAACTAAAGAAACCTCAAGTGAACTAAAAAAAAAAGTACATTTTCATTACTGTATTAACATTCCAATGAATGAGTCTAATGAATTAGAATGTCTCCAGTCATTACCCCCATCAAAATCGGGTACTTATTCCTTTGATTGTTTATAATTGGTGCAGGGACTAAATTCTGCATGGGACCAAAGCAATTTTTTACAGCATTATACGTATATCAATATCCTGGGAATTAAGATAAATAACTAAGATAAACTCCGTGGATTATAAAGTGATCAAAAATAAACTCTGTGGTTAGCTGGTTTTTTCTGCAGTGTTCCATCCCCAAATTAGTGTTACTTATGTAACTATTATGCATACCCTAATCGTCGGATTTTACATACCCGATGCTTCATACATACCCACTGCTTTATACATACTACCCGCCGCTTTATACATGCCCAATACTTCATTCATACATACCCGATGCTTCATTATTACAGGAAAACCTTCCTTTGGTAATTTTTTTGCCGACTCTAAGATTTTCAATTCAAATTAAAATATTGGTTCTTATTTATATGATGTACACTTTTTATTTTTTCATTAACTAATAAAATATTTTTATCTTTTTAGGTTTGAAAAATCAATTCTTCGAAAACATAACGCTCTAAAAATAGAATAACAACCAATTAAAAGATTGTCAATTTAATTTGGCAAACTGAATTCAAGCATGTGACCTTGTTCTACGTACGTACGTACAATATCTAAACAATCTGGAATTAAAAGTTCTTGTAACACTAACTTTAATACGTAACATTTTTCTCAAAACACAAAATCCTCCTAAAAGACAAATGAAGACGGGTTTTCCTAGTCTATTCCTCAATTGTACGAATGACACAAAGCCAATCAAAATGGCAGGAGTGAAATTTTATACATAAGTAATAATTATCTCTAATTATAACGTTCTAACTCTAAATGCCAATTTCACATAGTATTGTGTTAATTTTTATTCTTTATTTTTTTTTTTTTTTTAGTTTGTATCACTCACCCTCATTAGGAGATAGTCTAAAGCCAGTTAGTTTTTAAATTACGTAATTAATAACGCTAATCGATTTGTAAATTAAAGTCACATCTAAAGCTTTAAGACAACCTTCCAATTAGACTTTCACGATGCTTTAAAATAAGTAATTCCGATGCTTCATAATTCATCCGCACCTATCATAGGGAGAAGTTTGTCTGATTGGCTAGTGTAAATCAATTGCCCGGGTAACTAATTTATACGTTTTAAAGTATTTTGTTTTTTAAGAACGTAACATTGAACAAGTAAACAGTTGCTCAAACATCGTTGCTAATTTCAAAAGGGTGCTAGAAAGTTAATCTTAAAAATAAGATCTTATAATGTCTTATTTAAGTATACTTGCTTAGTAACGGCTTTTTTAACATATCAGATATGAACAATACTTATTCCGACATCTTAAATGACGAATTCTGAGTGATTTAATTTGTTGAAATTCAAAGTATAGATCTGAAAATTCAGCCAATAAGACAAATTTCTGCTTATAAACGCACCTATGATATTTTTTACGAATTATGAAAATTCTCAGATTTATTAAATAAATCTGCATCCAAACATAATTAGAAAATGGATGCGGGAAAGTGATCTTCTCACATTCTATAGTCAAATTCTGTAATGCAAAATATTAAATTATATGCTTCGATATTAATAATTTTAAAGAATTCTATGCAATAATGTAACATCGTGTAACTAATGCTCGAATGGATTTACTCATTTGACTCGAAACTGACCCGTGATGATAAATTTATTTGCCGTTATTATAACAAAATGAGTTTTTCAACCGATTTTGTAATAGGAATATAATTGGGTTAAGAATGTCGGTTTATATAAAATAAATTTTACCCTAAAATATTTATTAAGAAATTCAAAATCCACTTAAATTACGTTCCCACTTACTACATATGTACGTAATTTACTAGCAAATAATTGAAAAAATTTAGTTCGAAGAATTGCCAAACGGGTCTGTATTATTTCACCGACAATCACTTCACCAACAGCTCATTTAGCCGACATCACGCCAGGTGAAATTTACTAAAAATATATACCGGCAACTA